CCCCTGAGCACTGCCAGGGCTGACTCCTGAGTGCAGAGCCAGGAGTAACCCCTGTGCATCTAGGTGTGACCCAAAAAAAAGCAAAAAAAAAAATTTTAAATCAATAGTATGAATACTACTATGCTTGTACATTTCAAAATTTACATGACACAGATAGTTCCCACAAATACATAATTTAGTGAGAATAAATAAGAAAAAGTTAAGGAAAAATCTGAATGGGCAGATAAAAGTGTGTGTGTTTTAACCTAAAAAGGAATATTGGCTTTATGTTAGAAAATATTTTTTTATTTTATTTTTTTATTTATTGAATGTTGGGCTGGAGCGATAGCACAGCGGGTAGGGTGTTTGCCTTGCATGCAGCCAACATGGCCCACCCGAGTTCGATTCCTCTGCCCCTCTCAGAGAGCCTGGCAAGCTACCGAGAGTATCTCGCCCGCATGGCAAGCTACCTGTGGCATATTCAAATTGCCAAACACAGTAACAAGTCTCACAATGTTACTGGGCCCGCTCAAGCAAATCGATGAACAATGGGAGGACAGTGGCAGTGATTTATTGAATGTTAGAAAGTATTTTTAAAGATCTGTGAGCCATCATGACTAACAGGACCTCATGATAGTCTTTGGATGGAGAATGACCCAAACAGAACAACTTCAGAATAAACAAGACACACAGACTAAGACCTGGAAGAAAGGTAGAGTTACAATGTGGAGACTGAGCTAGACTAGTGTAGAAGCCCTTCTGGAAATGCCCTTTAGGGGCATGGACACGGTGGTCACTGTAGGTCTCAGCCAACACACCCCAGCACCACTAACAATTCAAAGAAAATCTCAGAAAGGCAATTTGAGTGGGGCGGGAGGGATAGTACAGTGGGGAGGGCACTTGATTTGTGTGTGGTCAGCCAGGATTTGATACCCAGCATCCCATATAGTCCCCTGATCCCCGCCAGGAATAATTCCTGAGCACAGAGTCAAGTGTAACTCCTGAGCACCACCAAGTATGGCCCCAAATCAAATAAAATACTTAGCCATGAACACAAATGAAGTATCTATCCATTAATAGGGACACTTTCTCCTAGAAATTAAGCTGTCTTATTGAAGAGGCACTTATTTCCTCACCATCAGGATACCCTAACAGGCCAGTCTGAAATCCTCAGTTTGCACTGGAAAGGGAAAAGTGAAGGGGGAAAGAACAATTATTGTGAAGAAATGTTCAAACAGGTCACGGTCCTCCCGTTGTTCATCGATTTGCTCGAGCGGGCCCAGTAACGTCTCCATTGTGACACTTGTTACTGTGTTTGGCATACTGAATACATCACAGGTAGCTTGCTATGGCTCTGCCGTGCAGGCGAGATACCCTCGGTAGCTTGCTGGGCTCTCCGAGAGGGGCAGAGGAATCGAACTCAGGTCGGCAATGTTGGCTGCATGCAAGGCAAATGCCCTACCGCTGTGCTATCACTCCAGCCCATCCCGCAAAGGGCTGAGCACATGCTTCACATGCTGGAGCCTAGGGTTCAAACTCAGGATCCACTGGGAGCAACCCCTGAGCACTGAGCCAGGCTAATCCTTGAGGGGCTAGGGAGATAGTACCAGGGTAAAGTGTTAACCTTGCCTGCACCCACCCCAGGTCCAGCACCCCAAATGGTCCCCCAAACTCTCCAGAAGTGATCCCTGAGCCCAGAGCCAGGAGTAGCCCTGAGAACTGCCACGTGTGGCACCAAAACAAAAATGGGTGGATAATCCCTGAACACCACTGGGTGTGGCCCAAAAACCAGAGAGGAAAAAGAAAAGTTCAAGCTGTGAGCACTTGTAGGCAAGACCTGTGGTGGACACAGCTTTGCTCCTCAAATAAGCACTTTGTCCTGCTCGCTCTGCTAGGTCAGCCTCTCACTTGTGCCTCACAGCCCACCTTCTTCTCTACGTACCCCGGGAATTGTTTTTTTTTTTCTTTTTGAGTCACAACTGGTGATGCACAGGGGTTACTCCTGGCTCATGCACTCAGGAATTTCTCCTCGCGGTGCTCGGGGACCATATGGGCTGCTGGGAATCGAACCGGGTCGGTCGCATGCAAGGCAAACGCCCTACCCGCTGTGCTATCGCTCCAGCCCCTGTAATTGTTTCTTAATCTGTCTTCCAGTTAAATAATTCCCATCATGGTGTAGTAAATGTGTAGCCCATCTCAACAACAACAACAACAACAAAAACTGGAAAAAGAGCGACAGCCCCGTGTCTTCAGTTCTCTGCACCGCTGATTCATTCCGTCTTCATTCCCATCCCTCGACCCCATTGTTGCCAGGCTTTTGCCGCTCTCTCTGACTGGGAGCTTACCCAGGTCACCATCAAGCTTCACACTGTCAGACTCATCGGTCATTCTTAGTCTTCATTTGGCTTGACCACTCTACAAGGTTGCCATCCTCTTGTCAGGAAACATTTGTTTTCCCTGACTTTTGAACAGTCTGGCCTCACAAGCTACTGCCTCATTCCCGTTTCCAGAATTCTCCTCCAAACCTCTAAATATTGGGCTACTGATCAGCTTTCTCTCCTTCCTTATCTGCTCTCGCTTCTTTGGTACATTTAGTCCCATAGCTTTAAATACAAATTTTATTCCTTTGTCAGTCTAGTTCCATCATTTGTGTTTTGTTTTGTTTTGTTTTGTTTTTTGAGCCACAGCCAGCGATGTTCATGGATCACTCCTGGTGATCAAGAAACCATTCGTATAGGGTGCCAGGGATCAAACCCAGGTCAGCCACATGCAAAGCAAGCGCCTTCCCCGCCGTACCATCTTTCCAGTTCTATCCCACCACTTTAAATACAGCTTCTATATACCGGAAATTTTTATATTTCCAGCCACATTTTATTCCCTAAATATTACATATACATAACTTTCAACTCTACATCCCCACTTGATTATAAATCATTTAAACTCTTCCTTAGCAAACTACTTTGTTTTCTCCCCATTTAGTTCAAGGGAACTTTGTTCTTTCACTTACCTAGGTTAAAAAAAAATCTTGTAATCTGGGGCTGGAGAGATGGTCTGAGTGTATGCATTGCATATGGGATGCCCAGATTCAAGCCCTGGTACCACATGGTCCTCTGAGCACCACCAGGAGCAAATCCTGAGCACCAAAAGAGTAACCCTCCAACACCTCTAACTGTGACCCCCAACAAACAAAAATCTTAGAATCATCCTCTTTATTGGTGTTGTTTCGTCTCTGGGTCAGTCCCCACAGTGCTCGAGGAACCATGCTTTGCTGAGCCGTGTGATCCATCCCCCAGATCCTGGACTCATCTTGACAACTCTCTTTCTCTCACATCTTACACACAATTCATCAGCAAAACCATTCTGTGTCTTGCAAAAATAACTAGACTATTTCTCTCTTTCCAAGTTTTTAATTCTTACCCTTAACCAAACTACTAATTATCACCGCTTACTGGTAGCCTCTGAACGGATGTCTAGTAGCCTCTTTACTAGGTCCTGCTTGAGGGGCACAAGTACTGTAAGGACTAAAACACTACCTGTGAATTTGGCCACGTGGGTCCCTGGTAACCTTGCCAAGACTGCTTTCACTGGAGTGCTGTCAGGGAGGCCCCACAGCAGGATTCCATTCTGTAGCTGGAATCCATCCTACCTACTCTCTATAACGTATTCTTCTCATCCTATAAGTCACCCAGAAAATTCCAGGTTTTGCAAGTGCCCTAGAACAGATGACTGGTAAAAGAAACTTTGGTACCTCTACACAATGAAATACTGTGCAGCTGTCAGGAGAGATGAAGTCATGAACTTTGCTTATGGATAGACATGAAGAGTATCGTGCTAAGTGAAATGAGTCAGAAAGAGAGGGACAGACTTAGAAGGACTGCACTCATTTGTGGAGTATAAAACAACATAACACAAGGCTGACACCTAAGGATAGTAGATACATGGGACAGATAGATTGCTCCATAGCTGGAAGCCTGCCTCATGAGCAAAGGGGAGAAGGCAGCTGGAATAGAGAAGAGATTACTAAGAAAAAGATGGCTGGAGGAATCGGTCGGGATGGGAGATGGGTGCAGAAAGTAGATAAAGGACCAAGCATGATAACCTCTCAGGGTCTGTATTGCAAACCATAATGCCCAAAAGTAGAGAGAGATGATGGGGAATCATGTCTGCCATGGAGGCAGGGGGAGGGTGGGAAAGGGAGGGTATACCGGGGATATTGGTAGTGGGGAATGTGCACTGGTGGAGGGATGGGTGTTTGATCATTGTGTGATTTTGACCCAAACATGAAAGCTTGTAACTATCTCATGGTGATTCAATAAAATTAAAAAAAAAAATTCCGGGTTTTACATTTGCTCTTCCTTGTGCCTGTACTACCCTCACTCCAGACACTTCTGGGGCATCTGGAAGCTCTCCTGAATTCAGCGATCAATTCAAGTGATAGAATTCCATTGGCTATTCAAAATGAACTCCATTAGGCTATTCAAAACTTCCCACTCTCTTTTTTCCATTATGTATATATATTTAATATTGTGCACTAGTATACACCCTTTATGTATATATCCATGGCATTTCCCACTAACTGAATGTTTATCGAACGATGATAAACAGAATAGTGTAACAGAATAGCCTAATGGAATGGAACAGTGAATAGTCCGATAGAATGCTCCATACCCTTACCGAGACTACAGATCAAGTTGGCTCCACGAGAAGAGTTTTATTTTGTATTCCCAGTCTGGCGAATGATGAGTGCTTAATATCGATCGAACGAGTCAATTACCTTCATCTGAACTACAAAGGACTACAGGCAAGAACGGCGGGTATGTTTAACCTTCAGTCCCCCCCAAGAGAACCCCTTCGGGCCCTGAGGACGCGAGCACGCTGCCCGATCAACAACTCGACCTTCGGGGGCCCCTCTCTTAGAAGACATACGGCGGCGCTTCCGCCTTCGCTCCGCGTCCCGGCGAGGGCGGGGCGGCGGGCTTGCGTCATCAGCCCGCGCCGCCCGCCCCGCGTCGCGCCGGCGGCTGGCGCAGCCCTTCGCTCGGCCGGCCTCCCCCTCCTTGGTTCCGCGCTCTGGTTCCGCCATGGAATCCAACAAGGATGAAGCCGAGCGCTGTATCAGCATCGCCCTCAAGGCCATCCAGAGCAACCAGCCCGACCGGGCGCTCCGCTTCCTGGAGAAGGCACAGCGGCTGTACCCGACGCCGCGGGTTCGCGGTGAGCGTGCGGCGCCCGCGAGCCCGAGGGGACATTAGCGCTGGTGGGGGGACTACGGGAACGGACCGACGGGAGCAGTTAGCGGGGGGAGGGGTGGCGAGGCGCGGCGGCGCCTGCGCAGTGCGGCGCGCGGGGGCTGCTGGGAGCTGTGGTCTCGCGCGCGCCGCCCGGGCCGCGGGGCGCCTGAGGAGGGGGCGGCCTCGCCTCGCGGCCGGCGGCGGGGCCCGAACTACCTTTCCCAGGGGCCCGTTCGGCGCCCGGGACGCGCGGCCGGCCTGGCGCGGTGCTCGTCGGGCCGATAAACAGAACTCGGCCGCGGGGCGCGGGGCGCGAGGCGCGAGGCTCCGACCTTCGGACGGGCAGCGACGCCGGCGCCGCAGCCCCGCGCTGAGGGACACCCGCGAGCGTCGGGCTCCCGTGTGCGGGAGGGGGTGACCGGAAGGGCCCGGGCGGAGCCTCGGCTCGGGGGTCACGCGCCCCCGCCTCCTCCGCGGCCCCCACCCGCGGGGCAGCCTGCCCAGGGCCTGGCTGGGGCTCGGACCCGGGTCTTTGCCGAGGCGGAAGACCGGGCGGCGGCGAACCTGTCGAACGTTCTGGAACTTTGATTGCGGAGTCGGAGCCTCTTTCCTCCCACGAGCTGACAGGGACCCAGGGTTAACCCAGCCCTGGGGTGGCCTGGTGACAGCTCGAGCGAACCAGGTCACTGTCACCGGGTGCCCCGGCTGTGTTTGTTTGGGGCCGGGGCCACACCAGATGGTCCTCGGGACTGGCTCGGTGCTCCGGGTGCCGGGGTCATTCGCGGCCGGCCCGGGGACCTTCCGGGGTGCCCGCGACCGAGCCCGTGCTCGGCAGTGCCCTCCCCGCAGTCCCGTCGTCCGGCCCCGCGCGTTGCTTTCGCCGCCGTGACTCTGCCTGATGCTGCGACCCTGCAACGTGGCTGAGCCCGTCCTTGCCCGCCAGAAGCGGACCGCCCGGGGAAGAGGCCAGTTGTAGGAAGCAGGGCAGCCTCAGGCAGTCGCCAGGATCGAACCAAAACTCAGGTGGTGTTAGTGGCCAGGACGCCGCTCAGTGCCTGCCCGCCCTTAGGGTTCCTGGTGAGTCAGGCAGGAGGCGCTGCGGGGAGCCGTCTTGGAGCGGAGCCTTCCCGGGCCCTGCGTTGCAAGCAGCGTCGGGAGCCCCGTAGCTGGGTGGAAAGTGCTGGTGAATCGCCGTGAGAGAATTGGTCGTCGAGCGGGAAAGGTGGCCGCACTGAAGCGCACCCTGGAGGAGGACGGGCGCCAGGGGTCCGGACGTTGGAGGGCTTTGCGACTGGGATCGCGTGTTGTGAGATTTGTAGACAGCGTAGGGAGTGATTTGAGTCCAGAGAGGATCCGGGGAGTGTAGGCTGGGCCAGGTTGTGGGAGTCATTTCCTGCCAAGCCAGGTTGTCCACTTCATCTGTGGTTGGAAAATGAACATTCGATAGCAGGATGACGATAAGGATATTTTGGGGTGGAGAAATGAGTAGAGCCGATAGAGGACTTGCCTTGCACGACGTGGCCGGCCCAGGTTCCATCACCGGCATCCCATGTGGTCTCCCTGTGACGGCCCTGCTTGGGCGACCCTGCAGTGCCAAGGCTCAGATCAGGGTCTGCAGTATGCAAGGCAAGTTCCTTAACCCCTCGTACCCTGACCCCACTTCTTTTTGGGCCTTACCAGACAGTGCTGAGGTCCCGTCCGGCATGCAGAACCTGTACTCCAGCCATTTGAGTTGTCTCCCCAATTTAAGGATACTCCCCCCCCCTTTTTTGGTAGTTAAGTAACATAGTTAACAATGATGTTAGCATCTAGGGATTTGAGGTACAAAGTTACTGCACCTTCACCACCAGTTGCCAAGAGCTGGAGTCCCGGCACCACAGTCCTTACGTCACTCCTAGTCCTACTCTAAAGATCCTATTCTCAGAAGAGACTGACATGGAGGTGCTGCAGAGATTTCTCCGTGGACTCGGGCTCATGCCTCTCACGCAGGAGATCTGCTTCGATCATTAGCACCACGCATTCCCCCGAGCACTGAAGCAGAACAAACCCTTGAACACCACCGGAAACAAACCAAAGAGGGAGGGAGGGAGGGGGAGAGAGAGAGAATGAGAATGACAGTAGGGCTGGGCAGGTGGTTCGAAGGGCCGGAGATCATACTTGGCGTGCTGGAAACCCAAGGTGTGCTCCGCCGCACCACAAGGCCCCCTAGCACAAGCTGGGAGGGTGTGGCTCAGAACTGAGAAGGGAGGGAGGAGAGAGAGGAAAGAGACGGAGAGACTGGAGATCATACTTTGCACTCTGGAAACCCAAACTGTGATCCCCAGTACCAGTCCCCGAGCACGAAGCTGGGAGTAGCTCCTGAGCATCACTGGGTGTGGCTCAGAACTAAGAAAAGGAGGGGAGGAGAGAGGGAGAGACAGAACTGTGTTGACTCAGGAGGTATGAATGATGCCTGGGAGAAGGTAACGTGGGCGAGAAGTCGTTAGAGAGGGGTTACTGGCGGGAAATAGGAATGCAGGTCCAAGCCCTTGTGACAGGGGAAACTGAGACTGCTGGGTGTGGGTGGGTGTTCCTGAGAAGCTGCCAGCAGGGAGCTTATTGGAGTTGGGTCTGGCTGAGGCTCTTGAGGCGAAGTGTGGAACCTGTAGAAAACATGGCTTCAGACACAACCAGGAGCCACATCTGTCTCCAGCCAATAGAAAGCCCGGAAGCAATGTTGACATGGAGCCACAGCAGGAATAGGCGGTCCCAGGAGGTCAGCAGCCAGGGCACCTGGGAGCACCAAGCAGGACAAGCCCTTGCTGCAGATGCAGTGTGGGAAATGGACGCGGCAGAACATGAAAGGGGAGCACAGCAGGGGTAGACGATTGATCTGGAAGAAGTGGGAGGACAGACTGAGGCAGGGGTCAAGGGTGAGAGGAGGCTGAAGACAACCCAAGTTGACCCGTGAAATGCCTTAGTGCGGGCTGAACAGACTAAAACCCATGTGCGGGAGGAGGGATCAAAGGTGGCAAAGGCCGAACAGCAGTACTGCGGGGCAATAGCTCGGCCCTGAGTGCAAATGTCCCAGGGCAGTGTGAAGCCACCAGCCCCTCCTCTCCCAGCCTTTCTCTCTGGAGCTTAGCTGTCTCATGGCTGATGGCTTTCCCTAATGCCTCACAACAATGATGAAAGGTTCCAGCTTTTCCAGGGAGCGTAGGAGAATGTCTGCGGATCTCAGTTTCCCCAGCATGCAAAGGGAAGCTTGGGCTGGAAGATCTCGCAGCTCAGGCCATATGAGGCTCAGGAGGAAGCGACTGGTTCTGGGGTCCGGGCTAAGTCAGGAGGGCCAAGCTGGGGAGGCCAACAGAGAGGAAAATGGAGGATGGGCTGCTGAAAAAGATTTTAGTATCCTGGACCTGTGAGAGATGTTGTAGTACGGGCGAGGGCCAGAGCAGGGCTGTCCATTCAAGGCATATTCAACCCTTCTATTCACCTTCACTGAATCTTCCTCATCCTTCAGAGCAACCCGGTCAGGGCAGGAGTCATGTCTTCCCTGAGAAGTTTAATTACTTGACAAGGCTATGTGGTTCTTTAATACAGCAGCCAGGCTGACTCCTCCTCTCCCGGGCTCGCTGTCTCCTGTTTTCCCTTTGCTGACTTGCCTTGAGCACCACAGGTGTGTAGAGACAGGCTGGGAACAAACTAGCCCGTAGCATGTGCTAGGCACTTCTGAGTCCGTTATTTGTCCATGGCGTCCTCTTTCCAGTTTTATGAGGAATATGGGTTTTTGGTTTTGTTTATTAAAGGAAATAATGTACTGTCATTATTACTTGGGGAGAGGCCACACCTGGTGGTGCTCAGGGGCTGTTTCTGACTGTGTTCGGGAGTGACTCCTGGCAATGCCCAGGGGACCATATGTGGTACCAGGTCTTTGCAGCACAGTCAAAGCCACTGCAGCCATGAGCCAGGCAAGTGTTTTACCTTTTGTAGTTCCTCTCTGGCCCGAGGGAGATGTTTTCCACAGAGAAGCCTAAGATAGCAAGAGGCTGAAACAAGTTTGAAGCCAGCTAGTCTGATTTTTCAGTCTGAGTTTGAGGAGGGACCATCCCCAGTGAGAACTTTCACTTCTGCTTCAGGTACCTCCTCTTCCTCCTCAGCGTTGGTCTCTCCCCCCAGGTTCGCTTCTTTTCAATAGCCTGCCCTCCTTACTGGGACGAGTTAGAGCTCGGACCCGAACCCAGGTGGTCTCCCTAACAGCAGAGCATGTTTCCCACTGTGCTTTGACAGCTGTCATCCACAGTGAGGGATGGAATGGTGAGTCAGATGAGGCAGTCTCATCCCACAGGCCTGGCAAATGGGTGTCTAGGCCTATCCAAGAGCAACCTGCTCGTCCACAACCAAAAGTCCCATCGCCAGCACAAGGAGGAACCTTCTGTGTGACCCAAAAGCACATCTGTTCTTCTTTGGAGTCTGTTTTGCAGTATAGAATGGCTGGCTCCAAGTAAATGCCCTGCAAAGCTTCTGGAATCTTCCCTGAGAAGTCCTGAAGAGAGTACATTGCCATCTTTCTCCTGGCTGATACTCTTCTCTGCCTTGGCAGCCAGCGTAACCTGGACTCCTGAGGTTTCCAGAGAGAGGGCAACAGATAACTTCCTTAGAAGTCCTAGGAGACCCGCCAGCCAACCTTCCTCTCTTTGATCAGCTGTGGTTTGCTTCACCTATTGGTTTGTTTCTTTGTCATTTTCTTTGATACCTGGGCTGGACCGGGAGTTTGGGATAACCCCACCCAGATATGGTGGTTTCCACTTGAGTCCAAAGCCTCCTGTGTGCCCATGGGTCCCTCCACTCACCGGCCGGACTGCTCCAGGGGCAGCCAACTCATTGGTAGCTAAGTAGCTATTCAGGGGGTCAGCAACAGTTGTGTGTTTTGAACTTCTCTGCCATGCCAGCCAGTGTGGCTGCCTTCCATCCATATTCCATCCTTGTGAGGACGCTGAGCTTCTCAGAGACAGCAGAGGCTGGCCATGTTGCTACAAGTGGCTGGGTTGAGATTTGAAACCTGGAGGCTGGAGAAGTGGTACAAAGGGCAAGGTCTTTGCCTTATTCACTGCTGACCCCCGTTTGGTCCCCAGCACCACATGTAGTTCCCTGAATAGCTCCCTTTTCTGGGTATTTCTGGTGTGGCCAGAATAAGATTTGTAACCTGGATCTTTCTGCCTATAACTTCTATACTCGAAACAGCTACCCCCAAGGGGCTCCCCTGCCTGACTTGTGTGACTCAGGATAGTAGCAAAGCTAAGGACGTGGTCCCAGCTACTGGGCATTCCAGGGCTGTGGTGCTGCCTACTTGGACAGCCATGGTCAGCAGTTTGCTTATAAGGGAATAAGACAGAAATGAACCAATATGATGGTGGCAGGGCTGGCCTGATCCATCAGGATCTCTTGTCTCTCATCTCTCCTCTGGCGCCCTCCCACAGGGGGTGAGCTTCCCGAGCTGCTGACTTAGTGCAATCATCTGTTTGCCGCGAATAAGACAGTCGTGGCCTAGGGTACTGTGGTCCACTTGGGCCCTAGTCCTCTGCTCCCAAGTCTCTGCTTCAGCCCCTTGGTAGGACTCAGGTGTTCCACAGTAGCATTTGACCCTAGTATGCACGTGACACTGAAGGAAGCCGGGGAGTAGCCAGCTGTGCTGATGCTCTTCTCGTCACAGCAACGTCCTGGTTCCCTGCAGTGGTCCCAGATATGTGGCTTCCAGAACTCTCCAGCCCATCTTGACAGGAACTTTCAGAACCAATACTCTCTGGAATAAATGGATCCAGAAGACTTCTGCCAGAGACTTGGTCTTTTGACCCTGGTTAGAGTTCAGTGGTAGAGCACATGCCTCCGATGTATGAAGCCCTAGATTTATTCCTGGCACCCAACAAACCTAGAGATTTGCACCCTTCCTCGTGGCACCAAGGACATGGGCTTGAATGACCATAGCCCTGTCTGAGAGTGGAAGCTATCACCATAGAAGGACTCTGAACTTTGAAATAGGATATTTGACATTGCCACACATTTGAAAACAAAAACATAGCATGCCGTGTACCTAGTAGATGTTATCCCATGTCTCACACTCCTTCTGGCCCTCTACGTAAGCCCATTGCCCCCCATCCTCTTCCCGGGGAAGTGCAGGCCTGACCTTCCTGCACACATCCCTCTGAGTGGAGTTTCCACTGCAAAGTTCCCACAAAGTTCTCAAGTGACCATTTTGTCACTTGGCAGAGAGTATCTGTTGAACACATTATTTTGGGATTTAAAAACATCTAAAGCAGGGATGGGGAACATCTAGCCGAATAAGGCCCGTGAAGTCCTAGTCCAACTCTGGTGTAGTAAAATGGGACAAGTGCATATGCTTCTAGTTGAAGGCCCATGGCCCATCTCCCTTTGTCTAAGCCTAAGTGATGACACAAGTATCTAAATGACCCTTGACAGGATCCCCAGCCCTCGTTCAAGGCACATTTCTCAATACTGAGCATGTGTGCCTCAGGATATTTGAAGGAGGCTGCTGGTGAAAATCACATGAATGGGGCCACTGTCAGGAAAAAAAATGAGAAAGATCTAAAGTTGTTTTGGAAATGGGGGCCTCACCCAGTGGTTCCAAGGCCTTATTCCAGATTCTTCATTCAGGAATCATTCTTTGTCATGCTCAGGGAACCACATGGGGTACTGGGGATGGAACCCAGGTCAGTGGCATACAAGGCAAGCACTCTACCTGCTGTACTATCTCTCCAGCCCCTTTAGGGTGGTTTTTGTTTTGTTGCTGCATCCAACAGTGCTCAGGGCTTATTCCTGCTCTGCACTCAGGGATCGCTGCCGGCAGGCTTGGGGGACCACATGGGATGCTAGGAATTGAACTCAGGTTGGTTCATGTACAAAGCAAACACCCTACCTGCTGTACTATCTATACACTCTGGCCCTAAAGGATTTATTTTTTTATGGTGATTTTTGCTTTGGGGAGTGAGCAGTCTACCAAGCAGTGCTGGGGAATCCTGGGACCCCACCAACAGGTCTCAGCCAACCGGTCCATGAGTTCAGCACAAGAGCCCTGCTGTGCTCTCTGGGATGCTGGGGGCCTCGTGGTCTCAGGAACCAAACCAGGGTAACTGGTATACTAGCTCCAGATCCCTTGTGATGAAGTTTTAAATGGCCTGTGCCTACCAACTCCTGAGACAGGTGGCTCCTAAGAGGCAGCTTTCCCACTGGTTCCCAAGGGCCCCCACAAGGCAGTAGGGGCTATGCTGGAGAATAAGCAGGTGAGGTGTAAGGATCGTGGCTTCTGCCAAGGCTGTGGCCCTGCGGACCAGGAGCCCTAAAAGGTTTCTTTGCCTTGCACAGGACTGATCGAGTCCCTCAACCAGAAAACCCAGGCTGCTGGTGACCAGTCCCATCCCACAGAGGAGACCCATGCCACCCATAGGAAAACAGGGGGCGCTGATGCCCCCTCGGCCAACGGTGAAGCTGGAGGAGGAGAGAACACCAAGAGCTACACTGCGGAACAAGTAGAGGCCGTGAAAAGGTAGAGGAGTGGGCCAGGACATTTCTGAGCCCAGCAAAGGCATCCTTCAGCGTGGTGTCCACTTCACATCCACTGGTGGTCAGCTGGACATGTATGGCTAGAGGAAATGCACATGGTTAGGCTCACCGGGCCCCTGAACATAGTGCTGATACCACCAGGTTCCTCTGCTGCCGGCCCCAGGTCTCTTACAGCTCTGTTGTCAGAGATGAAATGTGGACTCCGCTCAGGAATCTTCCCCTTCCACTGCCCACACCCACATCCCATCAAAGGCCCATTTAAACCAGCCTGTGTGGGTAGAGCAACAGGGCTGGAGTTCGGCCTGTGTGTGACCAAGTGTGACCCTAGTTTACCACATGCGCAGAGGTCACTTGCCATTTTCAGATCAGAATGGGTTTGTACGGGAGACACACACCTTGCTCGTTGGCAATAGAGAAATATTATGGGAAGTTGTGGTAAGAACTGAGATTTGGGGTTTCCACCAAGTCCCTGAACATAATGCTGATACCATCGATAGACAAGAATAACCTTTGATGGGCGATGTCCAGGGTCTTTTAAGGGCTCTGATCTGCCGAGCAGACATGAGTCATTTCTGACTTTTAATCACCCACTCAAAGCCTGGATTGCCCAGAGCGAGAACAACTGGCAGGCCACACACCTGCCTTAGGCTCTGGCCCCTCTTAGCCGTGGGGGATCCCGGTGAGGCTGCTAGTTACCTTTGGGGAGTGGGGGGCGAGATTGTGGCTTGGCAGAATTGAACAGCAGCTGCCCCTCCCAAGTTCTGAGTGTAGTGTTCACTGTTTGGAGCCGGCGCTCGCTGGTCAGGAGGCGATCACAGCCATGCCGTGCTCAGAGCCGCATGTCCTCGCTGCTGGCTCTCACCCTGTTCCTCTCCCTCCCTTAGGGTGAAGCAGTGTAAAGATTACTACGAGATCCTGGGGGTGAGCAGAACAGCCTCAGACGAGGACCTGAAGAAGGCCTACCGCAAACTAGCCCTCAAATTCCACCCAGACAAGAACCGCGCCCCGGGAGCCACTGAGGCCTTCAAAGGTAAGCCGGCTCTGGTTTCCGGTGTGGCTGCTTCCCTCCCCGGAGCTGAGAGGGAATGGGGGCTGAAAGAGCTTCCTCAGAAGTGTCCTTGACCCCCAAGTCCCATGGACTCAGGAGATGCTGCTTAGGAGATGGCCCTCGCAGCAGACTTGGAGTGCTCAGAGTAGCTCTCACCTCCCTGTGCTCCCCATCCCAGGGTTCCAGGAGAGGGGCTGACGCAAGAGGCTTCCCCAAGGTTGCTCAGCGACTAGGGACAGGGACAGGCCCTCTGACGGCCATTTACATTGCCCTGCGCACATTGTGAGGAACTCCCTTCTCCTGCCCCAGCGCCGAAGGGAGAATGGGAACAGCAGGCTCGGTCGCTTGCCAGTGTTTCTCCAGTGCTGATGCTGGCTGCTGACGTCAGCTGCCACCTTCCCCAGTGGATGCTCAGGCCAAATCCGGCCATGGGGCCTGTTCACAGTGGGAGAAGAAGTAGGTTGCAGACTCTGAACACATGCAGCTTTGACCCGCTTCTCCAGAAGGCTGCTTGAGGGACGCAGAGGGGGAGTAAGGGCTAGTTTGCGGAGGATAGGAGGGGCCAGGGCAGAACAGCGGGGAAGGTACTTGCCTTGCCCGCAGCCAGTGCAGGTTCTAGCCCCACATATGGCCTCGAGCACAGAGCCAGGAGTAAGCACTTACCACTGCTGGACATTACCTGTATCGTCCCCCACCCCACCCTACCCCCTAGAAAAAGAGAGGAGGGCCTTTAGACTGTAGTGGGAAGCCTCAGGGCCAAGCAAGGGAACAATAGCTGGGATATGACCCCCAAGACAGAGAGCTCACCCCCACTGTCAGCACGGGGGACTAGTGGGAGTCGGGGAGTCAGGTGTATGGACCTCAGCCAGAAGAGCCTACATTGGAACCCTGGGACTGGCCCTTCCCACGTTTTCCCCACTTCCCGTGGTGCATAGGAGACCGTGGGTCTGACTGGCCCCGTGCTAACGGTCATTTCAGGATGGCTTAAGGTAAGGTAAAAGGTAAAGGCCCTCCCGTTGTTCATCGATTTGCTCGAGCGGGCCCAGTAACGTCTCCGTCATGAGACTTGTTGTTGCTGTGTTTGGCATATCGAATACGTCACGGGGAGCTTGCCAGGCTCTGCCGTGCGGGCGAGATACTCTCGGTAGCTTGCCGGGCTCTCCGAGAGGGGCGGAGGAATCGAACTCGGGTCGGCCATGTTGGCTGCGTGCAAGGCAAACGCCCTACCGCTGTGCTATTGCTCCAGCAGTTGATATTCAGCAGTTGCTGCCTCATCTCTGATCCTGGTATCTAGGATTCATCTCTAAACTATCTGTCACCATGGCTCATAGATTTCCAGCCCTCACCCCAGAACAGAAGAAGGAACTCTCAGATATCGCCCGGCCATGTTGCCAATGGGAAGGGGATTCAGGATGGCTTAGGCTGCGGAAAGGAAGGCTGGAGCTCCTGGGCTCCTTAGGAGAGGAGTGAGGGGAGAGGGGCAGGGCTTTTCAGGAAGTTGAAGGGCAGATTTGAAGCGAGACACCTGAGTGGCCCCTCGCTCTGCAACATCAAAGGTGCGTGATATTAAGTGGTCAGTCAGCCACTTAATCCAGTGTTTACCAGCCTTGTTGTTTTATGCCCAGTGGAAATTTCTGTGTAAGCCACAATGGTGGTTGAAAACCACTAGAACATCTTTAAACCTTCATTTTCTTCACAATTTAATGATGGTGAAGTTGGTGCTAGGAGTAAGATCTTTTTTTTTTTTTTTGGTTGTTTGGGTCACACCAGTGATGCTCAGGGGTTATTTCTGTCTCTGCACTCAGGAATTACTCCTGGCAGTGCTCAGGGGCAACTGTACTATCGCTCCGGCCCATGGCGTAAGATCATTCTTGTGGCTGCTGGAGCGAGAGTATCGCGGGGAAGGCATTTGCCTTGCATGCAGCGAATACAGGTTTGATCCCCGGCACCACTAATGGTCCCCTGAACACCACCAGGAGTGATCCCTGAGCACAGCCAGGTGTGGCTATGGCTGTGGCTGTGCTAGGAATCACTTCTGGCAGTGCTCAGAGGACTATACGAAATGCCAGGGATCGAACCCATGTCAGCTGCATTTAAGGCAAGTGCCCATAGTAATAGCCCTCTGCCCACCCACCCCCCAGAATCCCCAAATTTAAAAACAATAAAACTAATCCTGTGTGGCTGGGGACATAGTCTAGGGGATTGGACACATGCAAAGTCCCCAAGTCAATCCCCGGCGCATGTGCTCCCCTGTGCTGCAGAGCCCAAACAGCACCACATCCTCAGGCCCTGTACTGAGGGTCGTAGGCCCACACTGAAGCCAGGGTGGCCGAGTATGGCTGTGAGTGGCCCCCAGGTCCCCTGAGCACCGCTTAAGAGGCCAGAAAGGAAAAGTCATTCCTACATAGGGCCTGGTACACACTATCGTCCTGAGGCGGAGAACGTGGAACTGAGTGTGACTCCACCCCCTGACTGCCCCAATCCACAAGGTTTTCCTACCTCCTCCCCTCGCTCTTGTCCTGCACTTCCAAGGACGTGTGCTCTCTAAGTCGCTGGAGGACTGAGGGAAGGGAGCTCTTGGCCGCCACGAGAGCCTGCACCTCACGCCACGCATTCCCAGACCTGACCTTCCCGCGTCTTTCTAGCCATCGGCACAGCGTACGCCGTACTTAGCAACCCGGAGAAGAGGAAGCAGTACGACCAGTTCGGTGACGACAAGAGCCAGGCTGCCCGGCACAGCCACGGGCACGGAGACTTCCACCGGGGCTTTGAGGCTGACATCTCCCCCGAAGACCTCTTCAACATGTTCTTTGGTGGTGGCTTCCCGTCAAGTAAGTGCCCTCCACACCCTCACCACAGCCGGGCCTCCCCAGGGGTGAGGGGGGGAAAGTCTGCCTCTCCCTTTGCCTGCAGCCCACTCCTGATTCAGCCTTCTGACCCTCAGGTAACGTCCATGTCTACAGCAACGGACGCATGCGCTACACTTACCAGCAAAGACAGGACCGCAGGGAGAACCAAGGCGATGTGAGTAGGGACAGGGACCAGCTCCGAGTCCCAGAGCTGGGTGTGGGGCTGGTGGAGGGAGTCCCAGCGGAGGGGGTTGGCGGGGCTTGGTCACGCCTGGGAAGCATCCTGGCCCTTGCCGTTCCATTGCATGACACCAGGGGGAGCCATAGTCCACACTGCAGCACGGCAGGCAGGAGCCCTGTTAGCTTTTCCTGGGAACCAGCTAAGGACAGTTGTGTGTGTGGCCTCTGGGAAGTCTCTGTGTATAGTGCCCAAGTGTCATTTCCCAAGGAATGGAAAGTGACATTTTATGTGAGAATTATGGAGTCACTTCTTTGGTGCTATTTCTTTTGCCTTCTTGGCACTCAAAAACCCAAATTTAATGTATAAATAGTTAGAGGGAGATGGCCCAGTGGGCTGGAGCACATGCCACAGCGTGTCCAGGGCTGCAGATTTGACCCCTAGCACTACATGGTCTCCTGAGCACTTTAGATAGCCTCCCCCCCCCAAAAAAAAAACAGAACAAATCAAAAAGGCATAGATGCTATAATAAGGCAATGCTGTAATAATGCTTTGGTTCCATCTTGAGTACCACAAAGAAAGCAGTTAAGGGCCCAGAGATAGTACAATGGGTAAGGCACTTGCATCGCTTTCAGCCAGCCTGGGATCGATCCTCAGCACCCGCTGTGGTTCCCCAAGCCTGACAGGAGTGGATCCTTAGCATAGCCACCGCTGGCCCAAAAAAGCTAAAAGAACAGTCAAAATGCTGAGGCAGTTGTGTGATTGAACATAGCAAAGAGCGTGTGTGGTTGTGTTGCTGGAGTTTGATTCCAGCCTCATGTGAATGTATGTGTATTATTATGGAGCCACATCCCCATCCCTACAGAAGAACCTTTCATATTGCGGATTTTCATGTCACACGTGAACAAATGTATTTTTATTTATAATCTTTCTGTAACACTGTCCTGCCGCGCTGTCCTCCCGTTGATCATCAATTTGCTCGAGTGGGCATCAGTAACGTCTCACAACAAATTGGGAGACTTGTTACTGTTTTTGGCATATTGAATACGCCGCGGGTAGCTTGCCAGGCTTTGCCATGCGGGCAAGATACTCTCGGTAGCTGGCCGGGCTCTCGAAGAGGGGCGAAGGAATCGAACCTGTGTCGGCTGCATGCAAGGCAAATGCCCTACCCACTGTGCTATCGCTCCAGCCCATAATCTTTCTGATACTTTAAAATAGTGTGAGGGGCTAGAAAGATAGTACAGTGAGTAGGACGCTTGCCTTACACATAGCCGACCCAGGTTCAATCCCCAGCATCCCATATAATCCCCCCAAACACCACCAGGAGTGTTTCCCGAGTGCAGAGCCACAAGTAACCCCTAGGCATTGCCAGGTGTGACCCAAAATCAAAAATTGCTGTGACTGGGGTCAGAGCATTAGTACACTTGCTTTACACACAGCCAACCCGGATTTGATCTGGTTCCTCCCGAGATCACCAAGAGTGATCCTGAGTGCGGAGCCAGGACTAAGCCCTGAGCACCACCCGACGTGACCCCAAAACAAAAAATTGCAATTACATTTGCAATATAGTTCAAACATGAAGGGGGGGGGGTCTGGTGAAAGGCTCCCGGAGCCCTGCCTCCCATCCTCCCTCCCGGCATGGCCATTCACTCATTTTCTCTCCCAGGGAAGGTGTATGCCCACCCACTCCTCTCTAGCACCAGGCACAGCCTGGCCTTTGTGGAGGGGCTAGCAGGCAAAGAGGCCCTGTGCTGGGGAGCCTGTAGGGACAGAAGGGGAGAAAGTGGTGTCATGCCTATATCGTGCAAGGTTGGCGGCTGTAGTGGCCAGCCTCCGCCACCCAGGCCCAGCTTGGTGACCATTGTCTCTCCTCTCCAGGGAGGGCTGGGTGTATTTGTCCAGCTGATGCCCATCCTCATCCTGATCCTCGTGTCAGCTCTCAGTCAGCTCATGGTCTCCAGTCCACCCTACAGCCTGAGCCCCAGACCGTGAGTACAGGGATGGGAGGCTGCCATGGTGGACAGGCAGGGGACGCTGGCATCTCAGTGCCAAACAGAGGCCTCAAAAACGACTTGGAGTCAAGAAAATACAATTTTCCCAATTGAACTGAGGTTCCTCTTGATGTTTTTAAAATTATGGTTCCATTAGAAAATAACAATCAAAAATCTAGGTCTGGGCCACAAAGATTGTACAGGGGTCAAGGCACTTTCCTTGCACAGTCCAACCCCAGTTCAATTCCCAGAACTGCATATGGTCCCCCAGCACGATAGGAATGATCTCTGAGCGCGTCAAGTCCTGACATAGCCAGGTGTAGCCCCCAAAAAATCGCAGGCCTGTCTCATAGACTACTGAACATACACTTTTGCAGATGGCTCGTGTGCTTGTGGCACCCTGCCCCGCTTCTTACCTGCTGGCAGAGAGGTGATTCCGTGGGTCGGGCGCTTGCTTGCACAGATTCGACCCCTGGTATCTCTGTGGTCTTCCGAGCACTGGCAGCATTGACTCCTGAGTGCCGAGCCAGGAGTGACCCCTGAGCATCTCCAGGTGTTTCTCCTAGAACAAAAGAACCGGAACAACCCTTTGCTTTCTGTTCTGATTGGGGGCCCCAGGGGCCATAGAAAGAACAGCAGCTCTATCACCCAGTCAGTGCAGGGGGAACCCTGAATGTTAGCTCTCTGCTAGCGAAGCAGCTGTCTGGTCCTGGACAAGTAATGTAACTTTTCTGACCCTTGGCTTTCTAGTCAGTAAAAATAGAGATAAATTTGTCACCCACTCTGAAAATGTAATGAGTGATACACATGAAAAGTCATGTTCTTAGCCATGTTCGTAGCCATGTCCAGTCTTGTTTGCTGAGTGAATATCTGATTTCAGTCACCAGTAGTGAACTTAGACAAACCATTTAACCTTTTAAGAGTTCCCACTCTGTTTTTTCCCCAGCTCCTGAAAGCATCTCCAATCCATAGTGAGTGCCCAGAGTGCCTGGGAGCCTGACAGGATCCCTCCCAGCCGGCAGGGGGCAGAGTTGGCCTGTGAGCCCAGTCCGACCAGCCCCGGCTCTCTGAGCCGTCTGCTTCCAGCCCTTTCTCTGAGCACCGTCCTCTCCACAGCCCCCACTGCCTGCAGCCTGCAGAACTGCGATTGGAGCTAGAAAAATTGGCTTCAGGAGTAGGACACAGCTCCTTCAAAGCCTTCCTGGGATTTGTTCCTAAGCCTCTTAAATGTGCCCTGGGAGCTCCTGGCTAGGCAAGCAGGCCCTCAGCTGCAGTTGGCTTAGAGGAAAAGTGAGGAAGTGGGGGACAGGCAGCTCAGATCGGCTCAGCTGGAGCCCCGTACCTACTCCAGCTACCGACCCGACACGGGGGCTTCTCCCCAAAGCCACGCCCCATCGTGTCCCCTCCCCGAGACCAACAGTGTGGTAAACAGGCAAGGGACGGGCTTCCTGGGCCTGGACCCTTGCACACACCTCATCACTCCCTCTTTGCCGTGGCATGGAGACCCGCCCTGGTTTGGAAGGGAAGACAGTATTCTGGCCTGCGCAGCCTCTCCTGTTGGGGACCCCTCCTCTCCGGAGGTGCCCATGCCCACTTTGTGTCTGTTGTATGTCCGGCCAGGTCGGTGGGCCATGTCCACAAGCGAATCACGGACCACCTGGCCGTCATCTATTATGTGGCAGACACCTTCTCTAGTGAGTACACGGGCTCCAGCCTCAAAACAGTGGAACGAAACGTGGAAGACGATTATATCGCCAACCTCCGGAACAACTGTTGGAAGGAGAAGCAGCAGAGTGAGTGTGTGCGCCGGGAGGGCTCCCGGACAGGAAGGGCGGCCGCAGACTGGGCTGCCCCTTGCTGGACCCACTGGAGACTGCTTCTGGGTACCTCAAGCTCACTGTCCAGTTCCCAGAAGGGTGGATGGGGAGGTGGACTGGCCTGGTTCCTGACCGCCCAGGGACTGGGCAGCAGATTGGCCCAGCACTCTGGGGGAGGATGTAGTGTGGGGCACGCCACCGCCTCCCGTGCCTGCTTTTGGGAAAGAGAGAGCGCACGTCAGCTGGGCCCGGCTCCTGGGCCTCTGCCTGCCCTCCCCCAACCCACACCCCATGGGGAGGGACAGACGGCCGTGCCTCACGCTGCCCCCTTGCCTTGCAGAGGAAGGCTTGCTGTACCGGGCCCGATACTTCGGCAACACAGACATGTACCACAAAGCACAGAAGATGGGCACGCCCAGCTGTAACCGACTGTCCGAGGTGCAAGCCTCCCTGCATGGATAGTCCTGGGCCGGCCGCGCACCCAGGTCCAAGTATGAGCTGGCGCCCCCTCCAGGGCTGCTCCCCACCCTCCCCCTGCTCTGGGCCTCTGGGCGGCCCCGGACCAGGCTGCTACCCAGGCCCGCACAGCCCTCCTGTTCTCCTCGAGCCAGGCAGCCCCCACCCAGAGAAGCGTGTGGGAATGGGGCCCGAGAGCCCTCTTCCCCTTCCAGGCAGGAGGCAGTGGGCACCCCACATTCCCCTCCGGGCACTTCCCTGGGGCTGCTGCACCTGGCGCCTGAAACCACAGGCATGTGGCCCGCCCAGGCTTCCCGTGGGGAGGGAGGGAAGCGAAGGTCTGACTCAAGAGCTGAGGAGGGCGGGCGGGGGGCTCTTCCTGGGGTGGGTTGACGCATTGTGGGCAGAGCAGGTGAAGGCTCTTCTGTGTGGCTACCCCTGCCCCTTCCTTTGCCGGTGCCCTCAGCAGGGATCCAGCCACCAGCTGCTGTGCTTTGAACTGTCACTAGGCCTCCAGGGGAGGGAGGGGGCCTCCCCGCAGGGTCGGGGGTGCAGCAGTGAGGCGGGAGGTTTGCAGGGGCACGTGACTGCCGAGCTAACAGTGCCCACTCTCCTCCCCAGACTATGAAATCCCTGGAGAATTTTTGGTGACATGCACTGAGCCAAGGTGACGGACTGTGTATTTAAGGAAAGACTTAAAAAGAAAACAAATTAAAAGCATCGGAGGCCGCTCGCGCCCAGCTTCCCTCTCTCTCACCCAGTACACGCGCAGAAAACGCTCTTAGGATGACAGGAAAACCTGCCGGGGGGGCTGCTTCCCTTCCTCAAGAGCTGGCCTGCCCAGCTCCTAGGATACAGAAACCATGGCAACGAAAGTAGAATCTGAAACTTGCAGGACGGCTGTGGCAGGGGGAGGGGCACCCAACTGCCTTCTGCCCCTCCTAAGAGCCACCTTGTCCTGTGTCCTCGGGGGGAGGGGGCGGGGGGCTGCGCCAGGCCACAGGAAAGGGGATGCCCCCTAGAATGTAACACGACCGTGTGTGTGTTTGTCTATATATCTATTTATATGTACATAGCATATATAAAGATATATATAGAGATATAGTCTACCTTGGAAGCTATGCAGGGATTTGGTTAAGTCCTTTAGCCGATTCCCTCCATGTTCTAGAAAAGCCTGTGGCAGGGAGAAGAGCTGATCTTCCGGTCTGGACATTCACTGTAGTTTCCACATCGGGAAAGTGGGGTCCTCCTATGCTTTCACCCCCTCCCTGGCCTGGCTTGGAGGGCAGCGGAATCATGATAGTGTAAATCTGGAGAAAACTTTCGGGGGCTGCCAGTATCTGGCTCAGCTGTTGGTGAGGCAGATGGGTGCGGGTGCAGGGGACCCCTGGGGGCTGGCACCAGGTGTCCACTCAGTCATGGACGGCGCCTGCATGGTGCGACCTCTCCTCAGGCTTCGGCCAGGCAGAAGGGCTCTGTGCCGCACCCAGGGGTCCTCCGCTCCTGCTCCCCCGAACAGCAACATTAGAGGGGCCAGGTGCTGCCTCCCCATAATCCAGCCTGGGTTCTGCCTTAGAGGGGCCACGGGGTACAGTTCCGTGTTGCGTTGCTTTGTCCTAAGTCAGGCATGCAAGACCCCAGAAGGCTCTTCCTGCAAATCAGCCAGACGGTGCCCACGGACCAGCTGTGAAGGAAGCTCACCCTGGGGGCCCCGCCCCGCCTCCTGCACTGTGGACAGATGCGCTGGACCGGGAGGGTTCCTGGCCTCGCCTTCAAATGAGGCTTTGTCCTGAAACAACCGTCGCTGCCAGGGATGGGAGGGAGGTTTTATTTATTGCCCCGGTGGATGCTGGGCCTTCGGGCATTGCTGTTTTCCTCTGCACTGGGTGACATTGAGCCTGCCACCTTCCAAAGCCTTACTTCCCTGAGCTGCCAGCCAGGAGCGGGCAGCCTCCTGCCACTGTTTCTCTTGGCTCTTTTTTTTAAAAAGTCCCCACCAAATAGGGTTCTTGCTGGGAAGCAAGCTTGGTGAAAGAAACGTCGAGTCTGGTTTGGTCACAAGGTCCTGCCCTGGGATGAAGCGGCCTCCAGCCCAGAGAGAGGCTGAGAACTGGACAGAGCGTCCAGCGGAGGGGCCCTGAGGCCCTGCCCACCGCCCCAGCCGTCTGGCCCTGGTAGATGTCCCTGGACAGGCTGAGCCATGTGCAATAAGAACACAGATCCTGAAGGATCCCCTGAGAAGCTGTATTTCTTGAATTAGAATTCTGAAATTGTACATCTATAAATATATGTTTATTATGTGATTGGCTGTGGTGGTTTTGTATTGAGCAGGGGGGCTCGGGGGCCTGGGGAGCACCTGTGGCTGCCGTTGGACTGTGCGGAGTTGCTCGTGACAGGCCTGGGAGTTCAGGCCAAGGGCTCAGCTGGCTCTGGGGCCGGGGGACTCTGGAGGTTCCTTTTGACTGTCCCAGGCCTGCAGCCCAAGTCATGATGATCAGCCTTTGGAGACAGACACGCACCTTCCTGCGTGGTGTGTCCTGTGCCTGCATGTGTGCGTGTGCGTGTCCGTCCCATGACCCCTCACCCGTTTCTGTCTGTGGTAGATTTGTGAGCAAAACAGCTTCAGAACCGTCCCCTCTCTCCATTGTGGCGCTCTGCCCGCGGCAGTTGCAGAGCAAGGGAAAGTTCTCAGAGTTTCTGCTTCCCAGGCATGGGTCCTGCCCCACCCCCACCGCCCGTCCCCTTGCCTCGGAGAGGAGGAAAGTTGAAGCTCCGTGCCTGAGCCTCGCGCATCTGCCCGGGCCTCCCGGAGACAGGGCCGGCTGCCCTGACTGGCGGCCCACGGCCCCTCCCGCTGCCGCTGCAGCCAAAGACAGCCGGCTGCCCGGTGGTGCCACTGCTGCCTGGGAGCTCATTGGCTGCCCCCGCCAGGGTCACCGCCGCCTGCCCTGGCTGCTCTGCGAGCCTCCGCTTGTTAGCCACAGTTGGCAGAGGCGGTGCCAGCCACCCCCGTTTACTGGCCCCATCCCCCTGCCCTCAGCAGGCCAGAGGGGGCGGGCCACACTCGGTCTGTTTGCAGCAAAAAAAAAAAAACTTTGGCAAGTGCCCCCACAGTCAGGTGGCAAAACAAACCCTTCCAACAGCTCCTGCGACCTGCCAGCTTGTCTCCTTGTGCCAGGGCTCCAGGACTAACTTTCCAAGGGACCAAGGGTGCGCAACCCGGCTTCAGTGGAACATCCCACCCCGGGTCCCTGGGTCTCCTTGGAAGCCCTCTGGCACAGCAGCCCCAGGAGTCTGTGGAGCGACCCACATCCTCATGGATGTCACACTGAGGGAAGTCAGCTGTTTCCAGAACAGGGACCAGGGGTCTGCATGGGACTGCATGTGTCTCCCGCGTCCTTGTAGGAAAGTCTCACTGCAGATATTAGCCGAACCCAGACTCAGTCCTCAAAATCAAACGCGCTGGGAAAGACTGGCAGAAAATCTGGCCAGAAAGGGAGAAATGAGTGAAGCACACACAGGAAGATGGGGCTAAGCCGAGGGGCCAGCTAGGGGTGCGCGGACCACTGTAGGTGAAGACAGAAAGCTCCGCTCTGCTGTACAGTCACTTCCCTGAAGACCATCCCCCGAAGCAGATTGGTCCAGTTTCCGTGTGGATGCCACATTCCAGCTGTCCGGGCAAGAGGGCAGCGCATCCACTTGCTGTCGGGCCAGGTCTAGTCAATCACTTTCTCTGTCCTCATCTTCAGAGTGGGTGCCGTATGCCATGGGGTGCCGGGGGGGGGGGGTGCGGGAGGAGTTGGTGAGAGTTATCACAGACCCACTTCACAGGGCTGTACTGAGTGGAGGCATTTAGAGTTGAACAGCACGAAGGTGGCAGACTGCGTCTGGCCTGGAGGAGCTCAAGGGCAGGCAGGAGTGGGCAGCAAACACCCAGGGAGCGGCTGGGAACTCTTGATAAAGGAACTGCAGTCTGGGGAGGCGGGGGTGGAGTAGACGCAGCAGGGCAGAGGGGACGGTGGGTAAATCCTGCATGGGGGGGCGGGAGTCCGGAAGGAACCCCATTCAGGGAACAATGCCTAGGCCCAGGCCCCGTCTATTATTGTCATCTTACCAGTCCCACCCAGCGTCCCTGGGCAGAGAAAGCCCTGGGAACAAAGAACCAAAGACCCCGCACTTCCCAAAGGCACCTCCCAAACCTGCCACCCATCCACCAGGACATGCTTTTAACTCGGCAGCGTCTCAGGGCCTCTCGGGCTGGGCCCTGCCCCCAGAAAACAGGGAACCCTGTGAGGCTAAAGGGGGGTACGGGCCGGGACTGGCAAAGCAGACGATCTTGGCTGTGCTTGGGCCTGCTGGCGTTCACAGCCCACAGCCATGGAGCAGAAAATAGGGTTCCCAGAGGAAGAAGGGCGTGAGGAAGACACTGTAGGACCCCAGGGCCAGAGACCTCCAGATCCTAAGGCTTTGCTCGGAGGGGCCTGGAGAGGGGCGGCCCTCCCCTTCCCGAGCCCACCCCAACAAAAGTCCCAGGGGGATGGGGCTGCATATGCCTCTCTGGGCCCGTGCACAGCCCCCAGGGAGCCCCGCTCTCCTCACTGGCTCTTAGGGACGCACAGAAGGTCCCTCGTGATGTGGGGTGATAGGAGCATGCACGATTTCTCTCTCCCACTCTCTTTTTGGGGGGCTTGGTTTTGTTTGGGGGCTCTGCCTGACAGTGCTCAGGCCTTACTCAGGGATTGCTCCTGGCAGAGCTCAGGGGACCATCTGGGGTGCTGGGGATCAAACGTGGGTCAGCCGTGTGCAAGGCAAGCGCCCTCCCGCTGTCCTATGGCCCTGGCCCTCCCCCTTGTGGCCGGAGACCCCACCCCACCCAGCTGCCAGTGCCCACATCCTTGGTTCCGCCCCTGCCGCTGGGCCCTGCCCTTTCCCACAGCCCGGTCTCCACCTTTCTGCGGGAGCTTTGCCCTGACGCCAGGCGGGGCCTGTCCAGGAAGACCTGCTGGGGCCAGTGCTGCAGGGCCTCCAAGAAGGGGTCCTCTCTGGTGGTTCTCTTGTCCACCTCCCACATGACTGCTCAGCCCCCCCTCCCCAACCTCCCGCCCCTGAGGCTTTGCAGCTGTAAACGCATGCTGGACCCGGTGACTTCCGCCCCACAGCAGCTCCAGGTATGTCCACGCGGGAGAAACAGCATCAGCCATGGACACAGCCAAAGGACCACGCACATGGTTTGCATGCAAGACAACCTGCTTGCACCCCCAGCACCCCATGGTCCCCTGAGCACTGCCAGTGTATCCCCCAAGTATACAACCTGCTGATGGTGTGGGAAGGAAGTGGTCATGGGTGTGAGCACTTCCGGGCCTCCCCAGACCCCAGACCCCAGGACGTGGAGTCTAAAAAGGCCCCATATGTCTGCTCCCTGATGAGGGGGTCAAACTACATTGAGAATCAGAACTCGTGCTCAGGCTGGAGAGGAGTAAGTTTCCAACCTTGCACACAGCTGACCCCCTGGCACTACATGGGGGCCCCAAGCCCTGCCAGGAGGGATCCCTGGGCACGGACCCAGGTACTCCTAGCCCTGAGCACCGGGGCTGGCCCAAAAACAACCCCAAAAATTAATTTAAAAATTTTAAAAAACCATGCTTATCCTGCAGGCCACCTCTGACCTCTGCCCAGAGAGGTCAGGGCCCCGGCGGGTAAGAGAGATTGATCTCCCCAGAGTGTGGTCTGTGCCAGGTGGCACGGTCCCTTTCTGTCCCTTGGCTGCCCCATGGCTGCCCTGGCCAGAAGCCCTGTGTGTCCTGCCAGCAGCCAGCCCTGGACTGGGCACTGAGGGGACATCCCACACCCAATGTGACAGATGACTACCTCCTGTCACGTCTGCACTGCGGGCCACGTGGTGGGGGGAGCCCCAGGGGCCTGAGGTGTTCTGGACGTCCTGTCTCAGGTATGACACCAGCAGGACATAGCTCGGTAGCAGATCACGTGCCCTGCTGTGGGAGGCACCCGCAAAATTGTTGAAATGTTATGATTTGAAACTGTTATGTAAGGAGACATTTTCATTTCTATCAATTGCAAATTCTCTCTGTTCCTTCCTTTCCCTTCCGTCCTTCCTTCCTTTCATTATTTCTTTCTCTTTTTCGTTCTTTCTGTCACACTTGGCAATGTTCAGGGGCTATTCCTGCTCTAAGCTTGGGGATCGCTCCCGGCAGTGCTCAGGAGTCGATATGTAGTAGAATGGAACCCCGACCTCCAGCGAGCACGTGTTCAACTGCTGAAACTGTGTCTTCAGCCCTGCAATTTCTTATTAGTTATTATCCCATCCCAGGGAACTCGTGTCCTTCATGTCACCTCTGCTCTCTGTGGAGTCAGGGTGGGGGGTGGTACTCACTGACCCAGGTGACTTGGCACAGACAGACCAATCAGAGACATGGGGGCTCGAACCCCGGCCAGCCCTTGGGGCCTGGGGATCAGAGACTGCTCAGGCCGAGGTGCAATTGCGTGACCCACATCTGCTCATATTATTAGCTCCGGAGCAGAGCCAGTCGACACGGTCACACAATTCGAGGAATTGTTGACAGGCCCCGGTGTCCAGCCCCGCGCCAGGAGGGGCACAGCCAGGAGACGGCCGCCCGCTCCCACGCCTGACACTGCAGGGGACAGCGCGTCCCTCTGCTGCTGATGTCTGTGCAGGGATGACCCCGGTCAGCTGCCTGTCCGCTGGCACCATCCCAGGCCTGTGTGTGCGGGCAGCGCCCCCAGCCTCCCTCAGCTGTGTCCGGAGCTGAGAGTGGAGCCTGGGCCTTGGCAGGCGCCCCGATGGGGCTGCAGGAAGCAGATGCCTGGCGGGGCACCGACTTCTCACCCACAGAAGGGAGGGCCCGAGCAGGCCTCCCGGGACCCTGCCAGACAGCAATCTCCTTGCCAAGCTGCGGGCTGTTAGGGGGCACAGGAGGCAGCGAACTCCTTCGGGGTCATCCAGGAGGGCCCCTGAGCTCTGAAGCGGTGGCTGAAATCCCTCTCCACCCCCCAGGAATTCGCAGATTTCTGTGCCTGAGGAAAGTGAGTCCCTGCCAATGAGCTGGGACAGAACAGCTTGGCCCCAGGCGCCAGGAAGAGGAGGAAGAGGGTGGGTGTCAGAGACGGCAGCCCCTTAACAAGGGGCTTCTCATACTGTGTCTCCTGGAGTCCATGGGGTGCCCCAAGGTGCCAGGGTGAGGGGAGAGAGAGCAGAGTTCAGCCCCCACGTCTCCACCTTCCTAGCCCACCCCCACTTTTTGGTTGGTGGGTTTGTTTAGGGGCT